GTCTGTGAACTGAGGAAGAAATCTGTCTAAACTATGCAACGGTGTTATCAACGTTTGTCTTGACTTTGGAACCTGAAGACATGTCCATTCCTCTTTTGTACTGAATTTCAAAACTACATACAAATCCGAGAGAGATTTATTGCTGGATCCAGTAAATGTACCACGAAATCCCTGTCTCAAAGATTATCATAATCCGTAATACTGTCAAGGAAGGAATTTCTCGATATTCACAGAAGGTATTTTAGAGAAGCGGAATTAACACCATGTGGATTCTCAAAAACTCAAAGAATATGCTCACATTTTTTCAACCTCCGAAACGGACCGAGTTCCGTTCTGTCAAAATATCTTTCTTCTTTTTATCACTATCCCACATGACAAAATTAAGGAAACCCTTCCATTCTTGATCCATTGGGCATTTGTAAATTAACGTGGTGGACACAGATGTACCTACATATCTATCTTCAGAGGTTCAGGACAATTTGTCAGAAATGAAAGCAAATGTCATTTGAAGTTTTCCGAGAAAACGATATGGGAAATGCTGGACTTTCTCATTGATAACATCTTTGTAAAATTTTGGGGTAAAACATTTCGCAAAGACGTAGGCATCCCCATTGGCACCAATTGTGCTCCCCTCCTTGCGGATCTGATTCTTTATGCATATGAATTAGAATTTCTGCTTGAGTTGGCAATATCAAAACAAGATAATTTGGTCAAGAAGTTTAACTTAAGCTTCCGGTACATCGATGATCTAATGTTCAATAACCATTAAATAACCAATTCCCTTCCACTTATTTACCCACCTGAACTTGAAATTAAGGGGACAAGTTAGACCGTCTCAACTGTTTCATATTTAGACCTATGCATAAAGATTCAGAGTGACAAAAATCTCTCCACAAGCCTGTAAGACAAAAGATGATTTCAACGTTCCAATAGTCAACTTTCCTTTCATGCACTGAGCACCCGTGAAGATCCGGGTTAGAATTGATCTTCAGTAACCCGTGCTTGTCGTGAGAGGCGGATACCGGAATCGGGTGGTCAGGCTCTCTGACTTGAGTGACACATGTCATCGTATCCCAGTTGCATAGATCGATTTTCATGCTGTTGATCACTGGATTGTCTGGTCCAGACTCGAATATTTACAGACCGCCGCCATTTAGCTGGAATATTTGCTAAGAGCGGCGTAAAACTAAACTCACACACACACTAATGCATCGAGCAATATTCCAACAGCTCCAGCCTTTGGTGTTTACATTTCACAACTTTTGAGGTACAATCGAGCGTGCTCTTTTTATCAGGATTTCAAAGAGCGTCATACACGCAGTTGTTCGATCAAGGTTACAATATTCAAGCCCTCAGTAAAGCTAAGGAGTAAGGAGCTTTATGGTAGACATGTAGAGGACATTTCGAAAATTGATTCATCAGTGACAAAAATGATGTCCCTGTTTTGACTTATACCACACATTCCTGAAATATTTGAGGTGAACAAAAAAATAGACTAAGCATATGTTTATGACGGGTGCCCCTCTGCGGGATGGAATACGCTCACATTTTCGCGAACACCTGGTATCATCACAATTTCATAGTGATTCATAAACACATGCTCTGTCATCGTATTGAATGGTGCCAATCACTGGATTGTCTGGTCCAGACTCGATTTGTTTACAAACAACATCAAACAGCTAATGCTGCTGAATCAAATATATGCTATAGTCACAATTGTACAACCGACTCTTGCTTTTAGCAGGGATTTCTTATGAATGTGGAAAGGGTTTGGTCGCTTCTATTTGTTAAAATACATTAACAGTGGTCATAATTCAGACTTTTCAGCTGCAGACACTCACTTCATAGGCGTGTTATAATTGATATTAACAACGGAGTGACAGAATAAGACTTTAGCAATATCCCAGCACAACACGGCAGAAGAAAACCAGAAATGTGATCCACACTTTTTACCCATGTTGGGAATCGAACCCTGTCTTCGGCTTGACGAGCGGAGGCTTTATCCGCAGGGCTACCCAATAGCACTAATTCACAACGGAACAGGGAACTGTGTGGCTATGTCTTACAAACACATTTTTATAATACAAAGTAGAATTTCGTGAAGATGATTTTGAACAAAACAACACAATCAAAACTGTCACAAATGACCTTGCTTTAACATAACAGTATATAATTCTATAGCACATAATGTAGTTAAGTTTGGGTAGGAAATAAAGCAAATGATGCTCAGATTTTAATACTTATTAATGATAACAATATAATCAATATTGTAAAAGCCATCCCTTACATTAACGTACGTGACAGACTCTACAGAATGTGTTGAAACATGACAACCGCGCAAGGCGTGATTGTCTGAGGTGTGACAACGGCACCATGTTGAGAGATCCTCCTGATTCACGGTGACATGTGTTCTGATGATAAACGGTGCAAGCTTGATAATGTCCACATGGAAAGCAGCACCGTAGACCACATGTTAGAGACATACGTGCTAAGTGACAATCTACATCCGGGTTTCAGTCAGACCAGTGCTACGTGCATTCATCAAAACAAGGTTAAATAAAACTGGAAGCAAAATTGTGAAAAATCAAATACTCTTCCCCTCTGCTGATAAATGTATGTAGTTATTTTGTTGACATAACATATGCATAACAAAATTATGGATAACAACTTTATGTTGTGAGTGTGAAGCTTCGGTCCAGATCCTTGCTAGACAATGATACAACAATCTATACCGAAACGTCGAACTCTCAAAATAGAGAAGGTGCTATTCCAAAATTTGTCAGGATTGTTCTTCCAATTTTCTACAATGCCACTTAAGCATTTAGAGGTGTGCCAAATGCTTAAGAAATGCGTGTAAATATTCATAATTCGCTAAACGACTTCTTCTCACGACCTTTTCTTGGTGGAGTGGAGATAGTGTCAATCCTGAAAACGGGACGTCGGTGTTTCAATCCCCTGCCGTAACAGTAAGTTGTGGTTCGGGTCTGGGGTTCATATTCATGGGCTAAACAATGACTAATGATGAGCTCATTGTGAGTCAGGTTACTGTGGTGTGACAGTGTTAAAACTAAGGCGGGGTATCTCAGTGGGGTCGCTCTATGAAACCGGTAATAGTCCTGGACTAGTAAACTCACTCACTCACAGCCCTTTTCACTCTCTCACTCACACACACACACACAGCAATAAAAGCGTACTAATCTAGAAGGCCAAGTTAAACATTTCACTCACTCATGCACACACGCACATATTATCTCCCACTCCCTCACTCACGCACACACTGCTAAATAATCTGGAAGGCCAAGTGAAACCCCATTTCACTCATTCACTCGCTCACTAACGCACATCTCCTTTTTCACTCACTCATTCACGCAAACACAGCAATAAAAGCGTAATAATCTGGAAGGCCAAGTTAAACCACATTTCACCCACTCAATCACACACTCACGCACACAAGCACACATTATCTCTCACTCACTCACGCACACACCGCAATAAAAGGGTAATAATCTGGTAGGCCGAGTTAAACCACATTTCACTCACACAATCATACACTCACGCACACATTATCTCTCACTCCCTCACTCACGCATACACCTCAATAAAAGCGTAATAATGTTGTAGGCCGAGTTACACCACATTTCACTCACACAATCATACACTCACGCACACATTATCTCTCACTCTCACTCCCTCACTCACGCACTCACTCTCACTCCCTCACTCACGCACACTCTCACTGCCTCACTCACTCTCACTCTCACTCCACACTCCATACACCGCAATAAAGGGGTAATAATCTGGTAGGCACACATTTTCACTCACACACAATCATACACTCACGCAGCTCTCACTCTCACTGCCTCACTCACGCACACACTTCACTCTCGCACACGTTATCTCTCACTCCCTCCCTCACTCACGCACACATTAGCTCTCACTCCCTCATTCACGCATACACCGCAATAAAAGGGTAATAATCTGGTAGGCCGAGTTAAACCACATTTCACTCACACAATCATACACTCATGCACACATTTTTCTCTCACTCCCTCATGCACCTCAATAAAAGCGTAATAATCTGGTAGGCCGGGTTTTTATCAACATTTCACTCACTCAATCACTCACTCACGCACACGTTATCTCTCACTCTCACTCCCTCCCTCACGCACACATTAGCTGTCACTGCCTCACTCACGCACACACCTCAATAAAAGCGTAATAATCTGGTAGGCCGAGTTAAACCACATTTGACCGACTCAATCACACACTCACGCACACATTATCTCTCACTCTCACTCCCTCCCTCACGCACACTTTAGCTCTCACTGCCTCACTCACGCACACACCTCAATAAAAGCGTAATAGTCTGGTAGGCCGAGTTAAACCACATTTCACCCTCTCAATCACACACTCAGCACACAAGCACACATTATCTCTCACTCACGCACACACCCAATCACACATGCACACGTTATCTCTCACTCACTCACACTCACTTCAATAAAAGCTTAATAATCTGGTAGGCCAGGATAAACCACATTTCACTCACGCACACACGCACACATTATCTCTCACTCACGCACACACCCAATCACACATGCACACGTTATCTCTCACTCACTCACACTCACTTCAATAAAAGCTTAATAATCTGGTAGGCCAGGATAAACCACATTTCACTCACGCAAACATTATCTCTCACTCACTCACACACACACCTCAATAAAAGCGTAATAATCCGGTAGGCAAAGTTAAACCACATTTTATTCACTCAATCACACATGCACACATCCTCTTTCACTCACTCACGCACATACTGCTATAAATGTGAAATAATCTGGAAGGCCAAATTAAACCACAATTTATATCGTTTTAATTTACGTGTAACGCGAAACAACATGGTTATAAAACTATATCCCCAAGTCATTGCCATTTGACAGTACACCGCCAGGAAGTCATGTGACCAGCAGGAAATCATGTGACCTCCCTATGCTGCTGGATCAATAGCGACTCCGAGTCAGAGTTGAGAGAGACAGAAGCTGTTGCCAATGGAGGCAGAGTGATTTGATAACACCACACGCAAGCCATGGACGCCTTCAAAATGCTACTACTACCAGTCTTTGGCGTTCTACTTACCTCTATCGCAGGACTTGCACAGGTAACTTTTATTAATGCTACATTTAAACCCATTTTAAGCAACAACCATTGAATTTCATTCGTGCTTAGGTTGATGGGTTCAACGATAAATCGTGCTTTGAATAAGGACGGAAGTACTTTAATGTTCATATGTTGTAAGTATTGTGCTCTTCACTGAAAGCGATGACTTGGATGATTTTGAGAAACAATGGGAGACCGCAATATCCATATTACAACTGTTTTTATTCTACTTACCACCATAGATACGATAAGATAAAATGCAGATAGTTTACAATCCGAAAACAACATCGACTGAGCCAAAACAAATAAATAGAAGGTAAGCTAATATTTGAGCTTTTGGGAACGCAGTGTACCAGAAACTAACCTCCCTATTCCCATCTTCACAAAATGTCCACATGCACCACACACAAAAGCATATTTTCGTCCGAATTATATTCGTTTAAGTGCCAGTGATTAATTATATTTAAACATTTTATAATACTCGATAAAAATCATTCACTCGAGAATTATAACATCATTATTTGGTTTTAGAACTAGATGGAGATTGCACATTATATTACTGGCGTATTTCTCATCATAAAACAAAAGCGCCCTTGTGGGATTTGATTTTCAAATCATATTATCTTTTTTGTAACGCCGGGAAAGAATCCCCGAAGAAGAAAACACTGTGATGTAGTCGTGTCGTCTGGTTTTAGAATGGTTTGGATTGTCAATTTTGAAACGCAAACCATTTTTGGTTTATAAATCTGACATCCCAAGGCGTGAGGCACCACGCATAGTCTCCGAAAACTGGCGAAAAAGCAGCAAGGAAAGTGAAGAATACCTAAAGTACGACCATTGGACATATAGTACCATACATTAGGGGCGAGTAAGAAACAATACTTAACAGTTTCAAACAGCGTGTTTTCATATTGAGTATCAGTGAGTATCAATTGCGTATTGAGTATCAATGGGATGGAATGATGTATGGAAATCGTTTCCTTCAGTTGCCCTTGAATTTGAAACATCCCGAAATCACTGATACCGTCTTCATCTTGTGAATATCAGAAACACACTGCATAATCACATTTAGTTAAATGTATAATTTGCTTCATGTTAAGTTTGTTTACTTTATACGCTGAACACTTGTCTTGGTCATCGGTCAGCATATCCCCGTATGTCTAAGGTATGGTCAGAATAAGATTGACCATGGTCGTATTGAACGCATACGGATGGCATTGTCTGGAATCTAAGGGTTCCTGGAGACCTTTATATCCCTTGTTTGATATTATTTCATTATTCGTGTGTATCATATCCTCAAAAGACCGCTTTGTTGTTGCTCGGCGCGAGGCATTACAGGTGGATACGACTTTAGCACAGAGTCAGTGCGTAGAGTCTATGTACTGTGTTTGAGAGGGTACATGTATGCATGTTTAACAGTGATATGGTGTCTCAGAAGATTATTACTATAAAACGAAATCAGTGCTTACTAGTACAAATAGCCATTCACACACGCACACGCACGTTGCTATAGGAGTGCATTCACCTTGAATTGTATGCTACATTAAACCACATTTAACGTCATCTTTCATATCATTTATTATATGAAATGAACGAAATATTCCACACAAATTGATTGTTTCAATATATAATACAAACATCAGGCTTACTTGTTCGTTTAATTTGCAAATTTATTGTGATAAATGTAACATTATCCGGACACTTTGTAATCCGGACGACGTCATAATGAACGATACTTCCAGATTAAGGTTTACTGTATATTTAACGTGTAAGCAAAGCAAAAATGTTTTTACATCAACTTGTCTGCAGCCATCGCAGCTTAGACATTAACACTTATACCCATACATCCTTGATGTCTACATTCAACGTTTTGCCTTCCCTATGAAGTCTTATGCTAGATGAAATACAGCTTAGACAGGAACACATACATATACACATAAATCTTTGCAACTGACGTCTGCATTCCGCGTTTCGCCTTGACTAAGAAGCCTTACGTTAGAGGAACCTAGTTATCAGACAAAGTTGAAGACACATGTTGTGATTTAGGGGGGAAAATAGTCACTGGCCTCATGATTGAGTGTTTAAGCTCTGGGGACACTTGCCCGGAAAAAGCCATCGTATGGCTGGGGTTAATAGAAATAGCCGTCAGAGCGTGAACTGACCCGATAGTGGACAGGACGGACGCAGATATAGTCCGCCCCGTCACATTGGACATAGAGAATAATGCGGTTTCATATCGAGTGTTAGTTTCGTCTGGGTGGTTCTATGCAATGTGACGACTTTGTGCTAAAGTGGTGATGTATGTGATCTTTTTTTCGTTTCCTTGATATTGGATGCTTCCCAAACGGAGTGACAGGAGAGTAATTGGTAACAAAGGCTCCATTGACAGGAAGCCAATATCGAAAGCATCTTCGTGGAAAACCATCGACATGTGAAATAGGTCTTGACTTGTTTCGTAATTTACGTTATTGGATCATGAATAATGCATCATGTGACGTCTATATATAGCAACAGTCAATTTTTTTGCAAACACAAAGACGAGGCATTGTATGCTTTTTAAATCCTGTGAGGGTTGAGTGCTATTTTCCAGACTAATATACTTGTAGATATTTTGAATTTATTCAACCTCGTTTGTAGTTTAACGCCGCACTCAGCAATATTCCAGCTACAAGACGGCGATCAACATATACTAGTTTCTGTTATTGCAGCATGAAGATCACTGATATCCCCAAAGGCTGAAAGCACATGTCTGAATAATCTTGGACAAACGAATTCCCCAAGCTAATCTGTTATTTAGCTTATACAAATAGCTGTGTTAGATTTGGATGACAGTATAATGGAAATTGCTACAGTCGGACCACAATGGAGTGGTCATTGCTTCAAGTACAGAAACTCACTACGGCACTAATGGCAGCCTTCTGAAGGCGACATCATTGTTGATCCAACTGTTTGTAGCAGACAGTAGTGCCATTTTAAAGTCAAGGGATCAATCTACCATCATCCTTAAGAGAGGTGTAAGAGGGACATGGACTCAAACGGGCAATAAATCAAACGCCGCATATCATCCGGAATAATACCTCATTAGTGTTGACCTTTTGGCGGATTAATTTCACCGGAAGTGGTAAACGGGCTGTGATTTGTGACTACAGAACTGGGACTATTGTAATGCCCATGTACAGTTCAGCTAAACCTCGGGGAATGTTTCCATTCCTGCCAAGTCTTTGCGCTGGATATCTGGAACAATGTTACCGACTTAAAACACTGGTGGGAGGTTTTGGTATTCATATTGCGTGGGGTAAAATCGATCGCAACGCCAAACGTGGACATGAGAAGAATTTTAACGTTGGAAATCCAACCGGTCTCTATGATACTTCTGAAAGACCTGAAGCAGGAATAACCCCATTGTGTCACATTGTCTTGAATTCCTTGCCTCTGAGGAAATTGAAACCTGTTATATCTTTCACTTTCTATTATCGATCGGGCCGGTTGTCGCTGTTAAACGTTAGTGGTTCTTCTCCAAGCCATCGCCTCAGTTACCAGACTTGTTTTGATGCCCAATCTGCATATATTTAATATAACGGTACATCTAAACATCTGATTCTAGGTCACGCTATATACGTCATGTCTTAACTGTTACAAAATATTCTGCTTCTTGAAGCTTCTGGTCTTTGACAGGTCGTGCCATTATATTATGATCATGATTATGATTTATATAAGTAGCATTCATTATTCTCACAACAATTGTCGTGTAGCCTTGATACGGCCGAAACTGTACAAGGGCATATTTCAAAGATTTTTATGTTTACCCTTTTCCAAGGCACCCTGTGCGTATTTTGGGTCGTACTGTGAGTGAAGTCAAAAACGTAAGTATGGCGAAGATGAAAGGATTGAACCACGCCAATAAGTTACTGTATTTGTGCCAAAGCTTGACATTCACTGTCACGTTGGTGATAGTCTCATCAAATTCACTGCACTTACATTTCATAATGCCCTTTTTCTCAAAAGCACGCATTGGCGGTTTCGAGTGGGATTTAACTGGTCCTGAGTATCAGCAAGAAAGCCTTTGTTTCACTTCAGATCTGTAGGGTTCTCAAGAAAAAAGTTACATAACGTGCTGCTTATAAACTCGATTGACTGGTCGTTGAGAGAACCTTCTCATTAACACTTTGCTTGCCTTGACACGCCCCACAAGATTATCTTCAGAGATGTAATTGTGAGCAAATATGCACAATATTATTCTGTCATGAGACTACATGTTACTTAAAACACTTCCCCCTATTTTCGCCTTATTCTATAAGAGAATGATAGACAATGGAAGGTGATGGTATCTATTGTCGTACACGAGTCTTCGTGTGAGGTGTCAGTACCCTGGTAGGGTTGGGTTTTGTTTTGTTTTTTTAGTAGTATTGGTAGTTGTAGTAGTGGTAGTAGTAGTAGTAGTAGTAGTAGTAGTAGTAGTAGTAGTAGTAGTAGTAGTAGTAACATTAGTAGTTGCAGCATCCTCATTACATATTCACGGTCGATCGTATTTATTGTCCTATCACCACTGTTACAAGTCCCGGTTTAATTATTATTACAGCTATAATCATCCGCTATATTTAATTACAACACGGTCATAATTATCTGTATGAATATCCCCCTGTTCCGAATCCCAAATTTGCTCTGATTACTCTTCAAAATTCTTCATTTAAACAATCCTACTGGCTCACAGACGATCCATTTCTGTATAGTTTTTAACCCACTACACAGGCTTTTGGACCGCCTCCGTGGTGTAGTGGTTAGAGCGTCCGCCCGGAGAGCGGAAGGTCGCGGGTTCGATCCCCGACCGCGTCATACCAAAAGACGTTAAAATATGGTACTTGGTCCCTGCCTGGCGCTCGGCATTAATGGGTACAACAAGGACTGGTCAGTATAGTGTGTCTGAGTGGGGTATTCATGCTTCACTGCGGCATGGTATCTCAGTGGGCTAGCACTATAAAACCAGCTTCAGTCTGGGCTAGT